CACTTTACTGAATTCCTGTATGAGTTCTAGCAGTTTTGGGGTGGAGTCTTTTGGGTTTTCCACATAAAGTATCATATCCTCTGCAAAGAGTGAGAATTTGACTTGTTTGCTGATTCGGATGCCTTTTATTTCTTTTTGTTGTCTGACTGCTGTGGCTAGGACTTCTAGTACTACGTTGAATAGCAGTGGTAATAGTGGACATCCCTGTCGTGTTCCTGACCATAGGGGAAAAGCTCTCAGTTTTTCCCCACTGAGAATGATATTTGCTGTGGGTTTTTTATACATGGCTTTTATGATATTGAGGTATGTACCCTCTATCCCTATACTGTGAAGAGTTTTAATCAAGAAAGGATGCTGTACTGTCAAATGCTTTTTCTGCAATGCAAATTCTGATAAAAAAATTTTAAGCCTTAAATGATTGGCTTTTGTGTTGTAATATGATTGATGGAGAAATGCATTATATAAATATATTATCATTTTTAAATGCAAAGACAGAGGAATAAATTTTATTTCACAAATCCAAAAGAACAAAAAAGGAAGGAAAACTTCCAAACTCATTCTATGAGGCCAGCATTATCCTGATACCAAAACCGCATAAAGACTCCAATAAAAAAGAGAACTACAGGACAAGATCCCTGATGAACATGGATATAAAAATTCTCAATGAAATACTAGCAAACTGAATCCAACAATACATTAAAAAAATAATTCACCACATTCAAGTGAGATTTATTCCTGGGTTGCAAGTATGGTTTAATATTCACAAATCAATCAACTTGATACACTACATTAGTAAAAGAAAGGATAAGAACCATATGATCATTTCAATAGATGCAGCAAAAGTATGTGACAATGTAGAACATCCATTCATGATTAAAAACCCACAGCTTTTCCCCTATGGTGAAGACAAGACAGGGATATCCACTCTCACCACTGGTATTTAACATAGCGCTGGAAGTCCTAGCCACAGCAATCAGACAACAAAAAGAAATAAAAGGCATCCACATTGGCAAGGAAGAACTAAAACTTTCATTATTTGCAGATGACATGATACTCTATACAGAAAACCTGAAAGATTCCACCAAAAAGTGTTAGAACTGATGAAGAAATTCAGTAAACTCACAGGATAAAAAAAAATCAATGTACCACAATCTGTTGCATTTTTATGCACCAATAATGAAGGAGCAGAAAGAGAAATTAAGGAATCAGTCCCATTTGCAATTGCTCTAAAAACCAGAAGAATAAAACTAACTATAGATGTAAAAGATCTGTACTCCAAAAACTATAAAAGACTGAGGAAAGAAACTGAAGATGACACAAAGAAAAGGAAAAACATCCCACGCTCATGGATCAGAAGAACAAACATTGTTGAAATGTCTATACTACCCAAATCAACACTTAATGCAATCCCTATCAAAATACCACCAGCATTTTTCACAGAGCCAGAACAAACAATCCTAAAACTTGTAGGGACCACAAAAGACCCCAAATAGCCAAAGCAAACTTGAAAAAGAAAAGCAAAGCTGAAGACATCACAATTCTGACTTTAAGTTATATTACAAAGCTGTAGTGATCAAAACAGTATGGTACTGCCACAAAAACAGACACATAAATCAACAGAACAGAAAACCCAGAAACGAACCCTCAAGTATATGGTTAATTACTCCTCGACAAAGCAGGAAAGAATATCCAACGGGGAAAAAATGGTCTCTTCAACAAATGCTGTTGGGAAAATTGGAGAGCAACATGTAGAAGTATGAAACTGGACTTTCTTACATCAAACACAAAAATAAATTCAAAATGGATTAAAGATCCAAATGTGAGACCTGAAACCATAAAAATCCTAGAGAAGAACATAGGCAGTAATCTCTTTGACATCAGCCATAGCAACTTCTTTCTAGATATGTCTCCTGAAGCAAGGGAAACAAAAGCAAAAATAAACTATTGGGACTTCATCAAAATAAAATGCTTCTACACAGTGAAGGAAACAATCAGCGAAATTAAAAGGCAGCCTACTGAGCGGGAGAAGGTATTTGCAAATGGCAGATCTGATAAAAATTAGTGTCCAAAATATATGAAGAACTTATAAAACTCAACACAGAAAAAATAAATACTCCAATTAAAAAATGGGCAGAAGACATGAACAGGCATTTTCCCAAAGATATACAGATGGCCAAAAGACACATGAAAAGATGCTAAACATCACTGTTCATCAGAGAAATACAAATCAAAACTACAATGAGGTATCACCTCACATCTGTCAGAATGACTAAAGTCAACAACACAGGAAACAACAGGTGATGGCGAGGATGTGGGGAAAGGGGAACCCTCTTGCACTGTTGGCAGCA